GTCGCAGAGAGAAGCTGAGTAAATATATTATTAATGCTGCTAAGAGGACAAACATTATAGAGATGCTATGAAAAACAAACTGTTTAGTGTTGACGCTCAGTTCTAATCCCCCAAAATAAAAGGTGATTTTTTTTTTTTTTTTGTACCACTCTGCTAGTTTTCATTGTAGATAATATCCGTCCTACTTATAAACAGGGTAAAAGTACAGATGTATAGCTTTTAAAAGTTATAAAAGCCTCAATGATGTACAGTGATCCTGCTCAGCACATGTTTTCATCAACAGTTTGCGTTCAGAGTAATATATGAGAGCAGTGTGCCTTTTTCCCAGCAGACATTTTGACTTCTTGCCGTGTGTGAAAGGTCAAAATGTCCCCTGTGTGTAAAGGCCTATTGTTTTGTTCTTCATTACAAATCTTAATTCATGCTTGTGTTAAGATGTAGATAAAGAGGAATGTATTTATTTGGAGAGCTACATCTTTGAGTATCATAAGTGTTTTGTTGGGTCTCGTGTTGGTTTACAAAGAACGGGTGCTCCTTCTTCATCATATTTGATCTGTTGACTAACATTTGAAGTCTTTTGGTTAATTCACTTGTTTCAAATGCATGGACAATGTTATCACATGTCTAATCAATTCAGCTCGGATCACACTGTCCTCGGCCCTGTTTGGATTGTAAAATAAGATTTATGAAAACAGAATGTGACACAGCTTTATAAAAATGTATTGCAATTACTGGTTAACAATAAATATTTCTTATTAATTAAATGAAGCTCAGCGCAAGTTCTTTCAGGGAGACTGTTTCCCACGCTCTCATTCACAATTCTCTCTCACTCACTCGCCCTTCCTTCAATAAGCAAGGGAGACCAATCAGTCCCGTTAAATCTGCTCTTCTCTCCCTCGCCAGCATCATTCAGAGAATTGATGCAACCCACCTCCACCTCCTTCACCTCCAGTCATCAGATCCAGAAGAACCCTCATCATTAAGGACCTGAATTCCCCTTCAGCACTTCACCACCACCAGTGTCTACTCTAGACCCCGGGGGGGTCCTAGTCGGCTTCTCCTCCCCCCTAAATCCATCACAGTATGATGGGGTCTAATCTCCAAAATGTATATTACCCCTCGGGCAATAAATATGCTATCAAACTCACGGAATAAGTCTCTCGTGATTGAAATAGCACCTGGTGTTTGTTTTCTGTTTTAGCCGCAAGTAATGATCGCTTTCATCACAGATTGTTTGGTCAACTAAATGTCATCGTGCAAAAGGTTATTACATGTACATATATTGGTAGAAAAAGTACTTTTTATTTTATTTTTTATTATTTATTCTACTATTTCAACAATTCAGACAGTTTATACATCTACAAAACAAATAAAATTAGTATAATGTACTTAGTGGTGTTGATACTTTTAGTAGTACTTTTAGTAGCAACACCACAGTATAAAAATACTCTTACTTATTATAAGTAATCAAAATATACCTAAGAGGACCAAAAGTAAAATAAGTTATGTATAATCGTCCATTTTAAAATGACCAGATTATAATTATTGATACATTAATATGTTTAATCACTTAAAATGGACCTATCATGCTATATTATAATAATATAGTGTAGGACCATACCTTATTTTTCAAAATACCAAACAGATCATGCATTTTAGCCATGCCTCATTTCACTCAATTTGCACTTATTTAGCCCTGTTTTAGCAAGGGCTGATTCAGTGAGAACAGCACCATCTACTGGCCTGGCATATGTACTACAGCGTCTCCAGCGCTTTCGAACGGCAATGGCCGTGGCTGTCTCCTCCTGATTGGTGGAGTTGGCCCAATAGCCGTAGCGCCACCGTCCTGACGTCAGGACAGTGTTCAAATCTGGATCAGTTTTTATCAGATCCGTTGCAGCCCCTTTTTTAGAGATTTGGGTATGGAGGAAAATAGAGAGGGTTGTGTTTTCTGACACTTGGTGAGTTCCCTGGAACACCGGGGACACATATTCATGTATAAAAGACGTACAAAAGTGCATTTTGCATGATAGGTCCCCTTTAAGTAAAAAGTACCCATAACTACCAGCTGTTTTAAAGAGTACCTGACCTCCCTTTATATTAATAGAACAATAATGTCATTATTAGCTAATGAATGTTTCCACGCTGAACAACGGCAACATGACAACGTTTTCATTGGTCCCTCTTCTTTAGAGAAGACCAGGAAATGATGGATACACGGATCGTGTTCAAATCAAAAGGCACGCAATGACTCTAAATAATAATGATCACGCCACCAGACACACATTCAAACTAAAGGAACCAGCCTGTTTGGAAAATGTAAGAAGTAGAAAGTACAGGTATTAGTGTTTAAAATGTAAGAAGTCAAAGTAAAAAGTTGTCAGAAAGATAGGTAGTGGAGTAAAGTACTGATACCATAGAAAAGTACTTAAGTACCGTAACGAAGTATTTGTACTCCACTACTTCCCACGTCAAGCTCATGTCAAAGTTGAAGTTGGGGGCTTTTATTTTGAAAACGGATTGTGGGCGTGGCTATACCAACTTGCCAAGCCAAACCTCCTTATCAAATATCTATTTTTCGCCACTCCCCACATGTGCAGTCTTTCATGAGTTTTCAGATATCTTAGGCCCTTCAAAAGTGCCCCTAAAGAATTACAATAATACCACCAGTTTTAGACGGTCCTCGTCCCCATTTTTGTTGGTGCTCGGGCCCATAGCAAATAATACAAATTGTAAATACTAAACTACACAAAAATATCAAATCAAGTACAACACTTGAGATTAACTAAGTTGCTTTCCACGGATAAAAAAAGGACTTAAAAAATGACTGCCCGACTGCTGCGGTGGCTAAAATTGAGAATAATCGCTGAGCAGAAGCCATTTAATTTTCTGTGGATAATAGATTAGATCACTCATTATTTCCGCTGTGGACATTTCAGTGGGATACAGTCAAATTAAAAAGCATCCAATGAAGACAAGGAAGTCTTCAGCTACATCCAAGACGGTTTTATTTAAGCCTACACTTCCAACTACTGCCACCATGTTTACTTTATTTACAACACTTATTTCAAAAGGCTTTCTTTCTGTTCTCCTCCATGCATCCTTCCTTTGTGGTTCCCCCTCCCCCAGCTCACAGGTGTGTCTCATGTATCTCCTCACTTTCCCCACTTTCTCTTCATGTTAAGCTAAAAGAAGGGCCATTACATAATTTATCTTCTCCCCCTTTCAGCTTTACACCCAAATATGTATAAAATAATGTCACGTGTATAGATACTAATAAAGCAGCACGTTGCCATGCCTTTCTTTCAAGAACAGCATGTTAAAAAATGTTTTCCAAAAGTTGATTCTGTGAGTTATGGCGCGTCTCCACTACAGCGCGGAGCACGGTTTAAGAGGGCTGTGACGTCAGCGGCCCGTCTTTGGTTGCGTTTCCACTTGGCCTAGTACCGGCCGGCGGGTCCTAATTCACAGTTTTTCTGGCCTCATAAAATCGTGGTTCTAGGGCCAGAGACAACGAGGCTGAGTCGGGCTGAGTATGCTAAACTAGAGAGAGAATCGCTGGCAAGGGGGCTACAACTACAACAAGATGGACATATTTGACCGTGATTTAATTGTAATACACGTTTCAAAATGATGCCGAAGTAACAACATACTGATACCGGTTAGTAAAAACCATGAATTAATGCTTTGACAAGTCTGCAGACAGACGGCAGGCGAAAAATCTTTTAAAATGCGTGTCTTCTAAATGGAGATCGGCTAAGCTAACGCAGTATATGCTCCGACCGTCCACACTCACAACAACGGCCTATACAGACATAAATAAACCAGCGACTGTATTCGCCATGACACAGGCAGTCTGTGGTTTGTACTTGTTTAACTTTTGTCTAGTTTCTGAACAGATATGAGGAGCTGTGAGCTTGAGTGCTAACAGCTAACGGCTGATGTTGGTTTTGTGGTTCTCATTGAAGATGACGTCACGGCTCCGCCTACACTGCGTTACTATAGATACTACCCCAGTTCCTAAACTGTAATGGAAATGCGCCATAAAGTGAGCCAGTCCTAACGAGGCCTAGCCATACCGAGCGAGGCCGAGCGAGGCCGAGCGAGGCCGTGTAGTGGAAATGCGCCATAAGATATGTATGGCTGAGGGTTAGGGACAATTTTTTTTTGAAAAATTCAGAACTCTATGATTTTCGGAATCTGAGAATTCTGACATTTTTATCGAACAGAATTTTTTCAGAGCTCTGATTTTTTTCCGATTCTGCCTTTTTTTTTAATAATCCTGACCTTTTTTTATTATGATTTTTTTTTGTTAAATTCTGACTGTTTCATATTCTTACTTTTTTCGTATTCTTACTTTTTACGAATCCTCACTTTTTTTTGTTAAATTCTGAAAAAAAATTATTCTGACCTTTTTCGAATTATGACTTTTTTTTATAATCTCATATATTTCAGAATTCTGATTTTCTTTCAGACTTTTTTTTCGAATTCTGACTCTTTTTTGTTAAATTCTGCCTTTTTTTGTTAAATTCGGACTTTCTTTTTTATTCTGTGAGTTAGAGATTATATGGCTGATGGTTAGGGACACGTTTTTGTCCCTAAAAAAATGCATTCCGATACTGACTTTTTTTCTTCTTTTGAATTCTGACTTTTTTTTGTTAAATTCTGACCTTTTTCGAATTCTTACGTTTTTACAGAATTCCTACTTTTCTTTTGAATTTTGTCTGTTTTTTAGATTCTGACTTTTGTTTTCTTAACTTTTGACTTATTTCAAAATTCTGACTCTTTTTTTCGGAGTATTCTCAGATCTAAAAACAAATACACTTTTGGTCAGATCTCAAATGAAAATGTCACGTGGCCCTAACCCTCTTCCGTAGTGATGCAAGGGTAGGATAAGACTATTATTCTCTGTTGGATTCTGTATTTCATTAGGATGTACAGTATATGAGTTTGTGTAATTTGAAAACAATCCTTCAGTTTAATCATCAAAGAGTCTCAAATTCTGTTTTGAGAAGATTTTATTGCGTATATACGGGTTAAGGTCCATTGAGTGTTTTTTGTAACGTAGCACTCCACAACACAGCAAAAGCCACCATTTCACCAAACCAATGATTTGTTTATAAGCAGTTACACATTGAACATCAATTTGTATTTTTATATATCATCTTTTTCTCAGATTTTTTTCACAATTTTAAACGCATTAGCTTTGATGTGATAGTGTGATGCCCGATCAGATTTTGATGCAGACATTTTAATATCACAGACATCACTTCACAAGACACGGGTTTAACAATGTACCAATATCCTTAATGTGTTTGTCCCACAAATTAAATATAACATATATATGCGATGCAGTTTGTACGCATCTCTCCTGAATGCTACTCCATGTCAGACCCATGCAACCTTAAGAATACATTTAAAACTGTAAAAAAAACACGACAATCCCCTCTTACTGTAATACCACACCCTATATAATGTTATGTCCTACACATATACATATAATCAAGTATATAGCCAACACTAAAACATAATTAACATGGAAAACATTTGAAGAACATTATCAGACACAGCTTACTTCCTCCAGATACAGATAAAACACACACACACAAACGTTCATAAAGGAAACTTTAAAACGCCTAACGTACTGTATCACAATCTGCTGACATTAAAGTATAAAAACAATCAAGAAACGGATTAACAGGTAAGGCGATTGGGTTTGTGACTTAATATAGATTACAATAGAGATACAAAATAATAATAACATTTTTGGACAGCACAGCATGTAGTCAAGTTCCAGTTTCTCCTCAACACTTCTCTCTCAAATAAAGTTAAAAAAAATGGGGCTCAACATGTTAGCAAACTATCAGGAATAGTAGAATTGCAGCTGTATGATTAGTCCCTTAACATTTAGGGACTTTGTACAAAAAAGGGCTACAATTCCTACTTGCTTCATCTGGTCTGTGTGTAGACAACCTTAAATTAAAGCCAGACGTCAGCACTTTATACTTATTGTTTAATTGTAAAATCGAATGTATTGGAGTGCAGAGCCAACACAACAATACATCTGTAAATAAGTAGATACTTGCCGACTGCACTGTTACTGTTAACTGGCTGTATATGTATGCAACACAAAAACACGAAAACGCTGGAAAAGATTTTAAAACAGACCATGATTAAAATATAAATAAATTAAATGTTTAACGAAGTTTCAACACATTTTAAGATAATACGATGGGTTAAAAAAAAAAAAACAGAAAATGTCAAATAAGCCGCTTGTGATGAGCTTGTGCTCGTCTCTAGTCTCGGTCATTTGGTGTTTACAGGTAGGGGAACTGGTTGAGTTTTCTCTGGTAAGTAGCACTGGCGTGGTGAAAAGGCAGCACCCCCTGCTGGAGGTTTTGGTTACCGTACTGTGCCGGAGAGACCCCCAGGCTGCCGGTCTTCTGCAGCAGCGCCAGGGAGGAGAAGGCCCCCCCGACCCGGCCCCCCTGCATCTGGTCCACAGCCTGCGAGACGGAGGCCAGGGCGGCAGAAGCGGGGTAGGCGTACAGGTTGGGGGCGGAGCTGAAGAGGGGGTTCTCGTGGAGCAGGAAGGACGAGTGGGAGGAGACGGGAGGAGGGTAGGTGGGCTGCCTCCTCAGGATGATACTGCTTCCTGTTGGGTCGAGGGAAGATGACATCACAGACTGCTGTACCTGAAACCACAGAGAGACGGTTTGGTGTTCTGTTTTTAAATTGTAAAATAAGATGTTCTTCTCCCTGCTCCTTTCCACCATGCGCTATAACATTTTTAAAAAACAGTATAAGTGTACATGTTTTGTAAAGTGTACATGTTTTGTTTTAAAATAACTGCCATGTGTGGAATAAACAAACAAATACATTTAAAAAAGGGTCAGAAATACTCCCACTTCAAGTCACAAAGCTACTGGTGTGATGTACTTCAGGTGACTGCAAGAAGGCTGAAAGCATGTGGAAGGTTCTCAGAGCATTTCGTTTTAGCATGTTCATTTCTGTTGGCTAATGTCAGTCCCCTGTCAAATGAATAAATAAAAGCAGTTACCTGACTGAGGTTGAGAGGCTGAGATCTGCTGGATGTGTTTCGTTGATGGCGGTCAGTGTTGGAGTCTCCGGTCCGACTCGACTGCTGAGTCGACGCTTTCTTGGATTTTCCAGAGCCACTTGTAGCTTGATCTACGAGTGGAAAAACAAAAACAAAAGTTCCAAGAAGGATTAGCTTACATGTGCTTCAGGTAAAGAGGATCTAACTTGCTAATAGAGCTGAGCTGATTATTAATGCACCTTAAATTGATCCATTGAGGCTACTTAATGCAATAACACCTGGTTAAATAAAATAAGAATGAATAGATATACTGTATTGTACTGTATTTCCAAAAATCTTTCACTAGATGTGACAGTGATGAAATTAACGACTATTTAACAAGTTACATCTTCTCCACAAAAAGGCACCAAATTAAAAAGGACCTCCTGCTCCTAATCTCACTCAAATAAATCTCGAAATAAAAATGTTCTAGGTTATTGGAGAAATACAATTTGAGCTGTGTCTTCTTTTATTCACACTGAAGAACCTCCACAATGTCAATATGATACGTTTTTGTGTGTGTGTGGCTCAGTCAGTAGGGGCTTGGACTGTGAGCCGTAGGGTCGCCGGTTCAAGTCCCCGACCAGACCTAAAATATGGAGTGTGGACTGCTACTTGGAGAGGTCCCAGTTCACCTCCTGCCCTGCCGTGGTGCCCTTGAGCAAGGCACCGGACACCCCCCTTCCCCCCTCACTCCCATTGCTCCCCGGGTGCTGTACAATAGCTGCCCACTGCTCCTAGTACTAGACTCCTGGTACTAGGATGGGTTAAAAGCAGAGAACACATTTCACTGTGTGGGGGGTCTCATCCCTCCCAATTCTATCATGCAGCTAGTATCTCAATCTCACCAGCAAAACATTTGATATACGAGACCAATCAGGTCATCTATACTGCATAAAGAATAACGTGCAATTACGTATCTGCCACATTTGACCGTCTATGTTTCCTGTAGTTATTAAATTGCTCTTTTTACACACTGTTAGTGTACAGTTTTATTATTATTATGCTGCTGTGTTTATTGTATTCTTTAGGGCTGTACCCGAATATCCGAATATCCGTTCGTTGGAGTACTTTGCGGGTTTCAATTTCGTTATTTGTTTGTTTTTTTTGGCAGCTGCAAAATTGAATTTATTGAAAACTCCAATATCAACGTAAGAGCTTGTGCCTCTTCGGGGGGTGCTAACACTTAACCATAAACGTTATCGTTTACTTTCTCCGTCTTTATATGTAGATATTAATTTTTCTCCGTTAATCTTCGTCACGTTGTTTCCATAGCAACAACAACTTCCTGTCAACAGCGCTAACTCTCCTTCAAAATAAAAGCATGTCCATACAAAATAGGAAGCCAAGCCAAATTACACTTAAGACGTATACAACTGCAACGAAAGTAACAAACACAATGCAATATCCTTTTCAATTTCAAAGAACACAAATTGGGTTATTTACATTAACAAATAACTATAAAACAACAATACTGTAGAATAACAAAATGAATGCCGTGAATAAACCGAAATACACGTGTTGAAGCGGTTCGCTGCTGATTACTACGCACCCCCCCCTCCCCCGCGCGGGCCGAATATTCGCTGCTGATTACTGACCCGAGCTCTCCCCCGGCTGGCTCTTCACAGACGGCACGATGACGGCCAGAGGCTGGGCGGGCTGCGGGGGCGTCTTGGTGCTCAGAGGGGGGGTCTTTGTGCTCAGAGGGGGGGTCTTGGTACTCAGAGGGCTGCTGGTGGAGGAGTCCGAGTCATGAGAGTCGTGCACCGTCACACAGCTGATCACGTTGGTCCGCTGGCTCGTTCCAGAGCTGCAGGAGAGGGAAATAACGATAATACGATAATACTTTATTGGTCAGATCAAGTCTGAAATTTGACTCATCACAGCAGCTCCATGTGTAACATCAACATAGACGAATATCAAGACACAATACATGAAAAACAAACAGCAAACATTCAACATAACAGCACAATCACTTGACTGATGCACAAAGGATGCTTCAGTCTGACTTTATTGAATCGTTAATTACAAATAAATGTGTAAAAATAACAATTTCAGCTAAATGAAAAACCTCTCAGAGACAGGAAGTGAGCTCACCAGCCAGCGGGGAACTTCCTGTCGTCCTCGTCCTCCGAGTCGCTGTGGATGGTGATGATGCTGACGGCGGGGCTGGGGGTGTCGGAGATGATGATTGGCTGAGACTGATCACCAGCAGGAGGGTTCTGGAGCACAGTGGCCGACGACACAGGCCTGCACGGAAGAGGATTTTTTAATAAATATGTTTCGTAGATAACTTTTTTTTTGTGAAGCACCTTGAGATGACGTTGTTTTTGAAGTGTGCTATACAAATAAAATGTACTATTATTATTATTAAGATGCTCCATCACTGTTTTATTGCAAATATTTATCTTAGGTGACCTGCCACCTATTTACGTTGCTTCAATCTACTGTTATATTATATTACCATTGTTATAAATACATATAAATAATAAATATAAATACTCAAACATGAGTTAAAAGAGACTTTTCGGGACTATTTTCAGAGGCAGATTAATCTAGTAAGTACTTGGGGCATCAGTATAGTGTATGTGGGGTTATTTCTAAATGAACTACCCTTTGTGTGCTCATGGTAGTGAAACAACATTTCACCCAGATCAACAAAGTGGTTTTTGAACGACAATGGAGCTCTATGTCTCAGAGGAATGTTAAATATATGGCTTTGATACACGGACACAATTGTTAGTAGGAGTTAGTTGTATCAGTTAACTGTTGGTTTTGGTATTACTATTGGAAACTTCAATTCTTCACAATTTGCTGACTGTAGGATAAAGGTTTAATGGATATCACTGCAGCCCATTACCAAGTAGATATGAAGCCAGGTAACAGACCACCACCACTACAATTTATGGACACCCCCCCCCCCCCATGCAGATAATGTGGATGCAAGGCAGTGTGACAGGAGACCTGGCTCTGCTCTCTGCGTGTCGAGCCTTTGCCCTCTTGCCCTGTTGGGGTCTGGAGGCAGCGTGGCTTTGGGAGGCAGCGTGGCTTTGGGAGGCAGCGTGACCGACGCCATCGAACTGGCTGCCATGGCGACCCCTGAGAGAAGGAAGGACACACTTTATTTATTTTAAACTGCATCTATGACTGACTGACCTCACAGAGATACATTTTCTTTTAAGTTTTAATAATACAATGACCTGAAGGTGTGTTTTAACATGCAGAATGAAGTCCTATGGGATTCAACTCACCTCCAGCCAGAGCCTTGTTGACTGTCGGAGGCCCCCATGGGGGGGTCCGGCACCACGTTCTGCCCCGGGTTGTGTAGGGCCATGCCGGGCATCTGCTGCCAGGTGGAGGGGATGAGGATCTGCTGAGTGCCAGCTGGCCAGCCCTGCTACACACACACACACACACACACACACACACACACACACACACACACACACACACACACACACACACACACACACACACACACACACACACACACACACACACACACACACACACACACACACACACACACACACACACACACACACACACACACACACACACACACACAACACACACACACACACACACACACACACACAAATATTACAAGAACCCTAAGTTCAGGATGGAAACTTTAGGAAATAAAGTAAATACATGTTCAGGTTTAGGTTCTTATGCCAAGCCGTAAAGATAAGGTCCAGAAAGAACAGAGCCCCCCTGAAAGTTAAAGGATGTGTTAGTCTGGGACGAGGAGAGGAAGAAAGTGAGTTGTCTCTTGGCATGAGTTCAACCTTTTTGAAAAACAAAACAAAAATAGAGAAAGCTTCTACAGCATTAAAACGCAACAGTATTTTTTTTACATTGCAGTTTTAAAAACATCTTTCGCTAGATGTGACTGATGAAAGGAATCTTTTAATTTAAAGGAATAGTATACAATTTTTGGAAATAGGTTTATTTGTTTATAGCGGAGAAAGCCTAATACCAACTCTGAAAATAGAGTTTTATGCTTCTACCACCTGAAGCAGAAAGCAAAAGCATGAAATCACATTGTGCGCATGCGTCCATCGTCCAGCTGCAGTCTAGACATACATTAGGAGGGAACAGGAAGAAATAAGAGATGTGATCCAGTCGTGATGATGGTGTTTTACCAGCACGGAGGCATTCTGATCCAGTAAGCCGGCAAAACTCGCACATCTGCAACCTAAAGACGGCAACTCAGCCAGAGAGGCGTACAGACTGCCCACCAGCAGGGGGTCGAGTGAGGCCTGGGGGGAGCAGTGGGGGGTGTTTAGACATGGTGGGTACAGACCTGCTGCATATTCTGCTGAAACCTGATGAAGGTCGATTAAGAAGGTCCACAGCAACGACAACATGAAACACCCTTTAATTTACTGCAACGACATGTCGGGAAACTCCCTCAAGGGGGCCCCATGCATAGCGCGCCGTAAGAAACTGCTTCTTAATTTCAGTTTCGTTGCTCCGCTCCGGGGGGGACTTTACTGGCATTGATCCGGACCAGTGACCTTGTATAAAATTCACAAGTGAACCTTTAATAAAAAAAGTTTGAGTACCCCTGTTCTGGGGGGTTTGATTTGTGAAGAGAGTGGAGAGTTGAAAATACATTTCCTTCTGAAAGGTGTTAACAGTAACATAACATGGAAATACACAAGTACAGGTACCTTACACTTTTACTTGGGTAAATGTACTCAGTTAAATGTCATCCCTGCTGGTGCTTATGGATACTGGAAGAAGAGTGTGTCCCACCTGAGCCAGCATGCCGGGCTGGATGTGCAGAGACTGGGAGTTCTGGTTCTGAGGACCTAAGGGGACGGAGCTGTCCATCCTCACTGGAAAACCAGAGGGCTTACTGGATGTCTGGAGACCTGGAGGGAGAAGAAGAAGGCAGGTGATATTGGTTCATTCAATGTATATACAAAAATAAACTAAATATAGAGTCTATATAGGGATTATGTAGCAAGTTGCATAACATATACATTAAGCATAGAGTGCCACAGTGACGCGTCCTAAAACCCGGAAGTAAACTCCTTCCGGTTTCTTCGACAAAAACGCAATGCAATTTCTCCATAGGATTTTGGAAAATAGCTGGAAATAAGGTACTGATGGTTGACACACATTTAAGAGACGGATCACGTTTTGTTCAGCCGGATAATATCCACATGTCTACCCTACTTTTATAATTTTCTAATCATAAATCTAGTCGCCAGAAGCAAAATGCTAACGTTATGCTATAAACGAACTACAGCAGGGTCGCTGCTTCAACGTCACGCCAACTTAAGATCCATATTCAAACATACAGATTCTAAATGGTGAAGCGTTTGTTTGAACAGTTTGCAGGAGGCAGGTACTTGCTTTCAAGCAGAACAGGACAAACAAACTTAGAGGAGTGTTTACGTGTTCGGTGTAATGACGTAAAACGGCCTCAACTTCTGTAGTCCTATTCAGCCACTTGGTAACAACCATCGTTTTTCAGACACGTAAACTCTTCAGAAATCACCAGTGAGGTCACTGCTGATGTATTTAATGTCGTAGAACAAAACGTGATCCGTCTCTTCAATGTGTTTCAACCACAGACCTTATTTACAGATATTTCCCAAAATCCTATGGAGAAATCCCATTGCTTTTTGTCGAAGGAACCAGAAGTGGTAAAATTATAACTTACTTCTGGGTTTTAGGACGCGTCACTTTGGCACTCTATTAAGACAAACACTTTATGAAAAGTCATTTCATTCAGTACATTTAAAAAACAGTAAAGAGAGAATACAGAACTAGAAGAAAAATAAGCTAAAATAGAATAAGGTAAAAAATCGTAATCAAATTGCAATGTGAGATATGAAAAGTTATTTGATTAAATAAATGGCAGTTGCAAAAAGAAATAAATTATGCCTGGATTTAAAAGTTTCAATGTATTTTACATTTTTGGGAAATATAAAAATGTAGTTATTTCAACATTTTCTAGGTGACTATGAAATGATATTTATTTTCATTGACGCAACATGACACTAACATGTGGCCCTCTCACCCTGGATGGTGGGGGGGCAGACGATGAGGGTCTGCTGGAAGGGCTCGGTCTGGGTGCAGAGCTGGGGGGGGGCGGGGGATGTTGATGGTGGCCTGCTGGTAGAGGCCGGGCTGGTAGTTGAGCAGCGGGACGTTACTGCTGAGGGACAGAGACTGGGCTCCTGCTGAGGACATCTGGAGACACAGCGAGCAGAGATATTCAGATCAAAGCCGCGAAATATGAGTCCAGTTCAGCAAGAACGTCTACGGTAAATGGACTCGCTTTTCCAGTCTGTTTGACGCCTCAAGACACTTTTACATATACAAGTCAGAACACACCCATACATACAGAACATGCAACGGGCCAATTTGCTTAAAGAGACGTATGCAGAATGAAATACAAATACATCTCAAATGTTCAATACATTTAAACAAATTTAACTGGTATTTAATTATACAAGTTAGTGATTAAGTAACATTTTTGTACATTTCCTGAATTTAAAATAGAAATTCAATTGTATGTTTAAAATAAATTGACTGTTTAATAATGAATGTTTTCTCTAAAAAACTACAACAATGAAGAGGACCTTCTACCTACCTCTCACTCAAAAAAAAAATCCTCCATTGCAAAAAATATAACTCCAGATGAATTGCACAATATTCCAGTTTATTACATGGCTTAGTTGAATACTCGATTCTGATTGGTCAATTCAGAACACGTGACACGTTGTTAATCCAGAACAGACAGACCGCTGTCAAGGACTTATTGACCGTTGTTAAGGACGCTCACATCTGCAGAAAGAAGTCCGGTCGATTGAACTGTATACAGTTTGGCTGAAAAGCAAACTGCATGCTTCGCGTCAGGATCCTGATCTGCCTGTCGGGTGTGCTTTTACCCATAATGACCGCCTCGCTGCACATTATCCCTTACTCATCTAACAGGTTTTACTCTTAAAAGAAGGCAGGTTCAACAATGGTTTGAGAACTTAATTGAAAAGGCTGCTTTATAACCTTCAGCAGGTGAACCCCCCACCCCCCCTGAGGCAGACGCAGGACTCCTCACCTGGCTGTGCTGGTTGAGCTGGCTGCTGAAGGTCACGGTGAGGTTGGCGGCTGCACTCGACGTGGTGTTGCTGGAGAACATGTTCTTCCCGTTCTCAAAGGCGCTGCATCTGCGTTTGCATATGTCCATATTTTGGAAGCAGGATTTCATGCTGTAAAATGACATTATTAAAAATGGTGAACATGTGGGCTCGAAGTTGTTACGTACCTTGTCACACTAGGGCAGGGGTCGGCAATTCAGTTTGGCCTTGAGCCAATTTTTTTGTGAGCCACTAGATGGCGGGCCGGAACATAATCAAAGGCTTATTTAAGTCATTGATTGTTAAAACATGTGACACGTTCGAATGCTTGGGGGGCGGGGTGCTAGTGAACTGTCAACGGGGGGGGGGGGGGGAGCCTCGCTGCGGTGCCGTTCTGTGATTCTTCAGATTCTACAGATGGCCAGTCCGCCCCTGCTCACAAGCTTATTAAGATCCAAAGCTTTAGTGCGTTTTGAATCAATGCTGAGCACAGCCAAACATGACAGTCTCTTCTCTGTCATTGTAGATGGAATGCTTCTCGTTTTGCGCCGTCCCGTTCAAATGACAATCACATTTCCATGCTCGCGCCAGGGCCGGGGGATGGGGTTACAAGGCTCGCGTCTTGTGCTGCATTCACTTGCACTCGGACATTAGGGATTTTCTCTCATAAATGTCCGATGAGCCAAAACTTTTCTTTCAAAACAAAGGTGCCAACTGGGGTGGCAGCATATGCACCACCACCCCTCGCCCTCCATGATCAAGCGGCTTCTCCGATTTTGTTGTCAATGTTTTGACTGAACTTTGTTACTGTTCACATATAAGTAAGCATTACGTTTGAATGATTTAGTGAGCTGGTGTTATTTTTTTTCAAACCACAAACCACATGTTGGCTATTTCAGCACCACGCGCTGTCCACCTACTTATTGATCCACTATCAGCGTCAGTGCACCCCGCTGCCAGATTGTGCCTGTGCTGTGTGTCATTCACTCTCAACATGGATAAAAGTACAATAAGCATTCTTCAGGTGTAGGTAGATTCTCTATTCGGACATTATAGCCTATATGTGCGACTGTCGGTCCGATATTGTAAAAAAAAAAAGATCTCCAAATAATCTTTTATTTTTATTCTCAAAATAATTTTCCGGGCCAAATATTATTGCTGGCGGGCCGCCTATTGCCGACCCATGCACTAGGGGTTTAGAAGGCTGGCAATAAGAATAGCATAAACTAAAATGTTTTGTTTGGGTTATGTGCGTGATGTTTTATTATATCTGAGTATTTACTTGTATACTGTATCATTATTATTTTGTTCAGGGTTCATACACTTTTTCACCAATGATTTTCAATGACTTCTCCATGACCTTTACCTCATTTTTCATGACCAAAAAAATTACTCTTTCTCAGCGGTACCACTGAAAATTTTTTATTTTAACATGTTAAGCTGGAAAATAAGGTCTGCATATGAAACATGTTGTGCCTATCTAAAACAAATCAAATAGTAGGCTTACTAGCTCCTACAGACTAAAGCCACTGTAGACTAGGGCATGATTGTAAAACTCTCTCCAGCTAAATACTTCGACAGTTAAATGCCATTTTACGTTTCATTACTATACGATACAGTATTTATTATCATTATAGTATTACTATTTCGGCGATAAGATAAAATATAAATTATATTTGATGCAACTTTGGTTACATTTCCATGACTTTTCCAAAACTTTGGGAAAAATATTGTTTTCCATAACTTTTCCAGGGCCTGGAATTTGCATTTTGAATTTCCATGACTTTTCCAGGTTTTTAATGACCGTATGAACCCTGTTTGTTGTATGTAATTATTTTTGGTCTATTCCTTATTTTATTGATTTGTTTTATTTATTTTTTACTTGTATTTATATATATTTGTATGATCTTTCTGTCGTATGTTTGTCTACTCATTGGGGAATACCACCTGGAGGGGGAGGGGGGAGGGGGGGAGGGGGGGAGGGGGGTGGGGTTTATAAATATTGGACATACTGTATTTGTGAAAAACTGAAAAAAATGGTGAACAAAGATGGAACCTAACTTCAGTCTTGATCCTCAGCGAGTCCTGCACTTACTGTGAGCTGTGAGGGAAGTGCAGCAGGTGCGTCATGGTAACGAAGGGGTGGTTCAGCGTCTTCATGGGCGTGATGCGTTTGTCTGCGTCCAGCGTCAGCATCTTCTTCAGCAGGTCGATGAACTCCCGCCGGTCCGCCTTCTCTGCCAAGATGTCCGTCCCCTCCAGGTTCGTCATGTTCACCTGCAGAGCCACAGGAAGTGAGTTTGTCAAACGGCTTCCTGGAGCACCCTAAACTGTGAGAAGTGTATAGGAAAGGAAAGAAGCTCACCTGCATCATATCATCCAAACAGTTGAAGATGTATTTCCTCGCCTCCTTGGACTTGATGCCCATCTCCGCCTCGTGCTCAGAGGACGTCTGCAGAGAGAAATAACCATAGCAACACTTCAGTATATGTACTGCTAATATGCTTAATGATAGACTCTTTAACTTAAAACAGCATTGTGTTTCCAATCTTTAAACAATACAAATATAAATGTGAGGGCTGATGTTGTGGAACGAACTGGAGGAAGGAATTAAAACATGACATCAGACAGTTTGAAAGGTGTACAAGAGGTTGATTGTGAATGATGCAGAGGAACATAGTGGTTACATTGTGGGGATGGACTCTGTGGCAGATTGTATCAAACAAAGTTACAAAGTGCTCTCACATAAAAACAGAAACATTTACATACAGAAAATAAACTAAACTAAAACCAGCAACTAAACACATTTTAATACAAATAGAGGAAAACAAACTGAAAGTAACACACACAAAAATTAGTTTTTCAAAGTGATTCGATACAGGGATAGGAATAGAAAACCATGTTGCTTCATTCTACTACATTTTTTACATGAAGTATCAGTTTATGTCGCCTATAAAAAAAATGCGTTGTACTGTACAGTATATGGAAACTGCTATTTATTGGTTACTTTTGTTTTGTTTTCCTGGTGCTGCATTGTTGTAGGTGACTTTGTTGGATTCCTACTTTGAGAATTGAAATAATTGTTCAATGTTTTTGTACGTTTTGGAGCCTGTTTATAACAAAGCTGTCATGTCCTTACTCTTTATATTTGAGGTCTTTGACCAGGGGCAATGTAATTGGATAACTCAGACAATAATGTATTTGTGTTTATAGTCTATGTTTCCTGCCCTCCTGCTTCAACTCACTTTATTTTCTTGTACTCTGTCTTGAGAACTTGTCCGTGTTAATGTTGAACTTGTTGAACATGTTTTAATTCAGGCTCAGTAATCCCCATCTGTGCAGAGAAACTCACTTTGAGTCTCCAGAGGGGGTAGCTGGAGTCGGGGCCTCTGTTGAAGAAGCGGCTGGTCTTGGTCCCTGCGCTCAGCAGATACTCTGCAGGGAGGCCCTGCGTCTGGGAGATGTAACGGATCTGAGGGAGACAACAGGAGAAAACATTCAGTTGCCTTTTGTTTAAACAGTTAACATCACCTGAGGGCTGGTTCTCTGAATGCGGTATTGTGGGTTTGGATAAATACATGCAATGCGTGTGAAAATCTGCCACGTGTCGACAAACCTGCTTTAAGAAGGTTCCGGTCTTTATGCCAAGCAACCTGGCAGTTGGCTAAAGCTTCATAAAACGTATGCAAAACGTATGCAAAACGTATGCAAAACGTGTGAAAAACTTGTGAAAAACTTGTGAAAAACGTATGAAAAACGTATGCAAAACGTATGAAAAACTTATGCAAAGCGTCTGAAACTGCCACGCGTCCACAAACATCCTTTAAGAGTGTTACATTTTTTTTAAACTGATAAGAGTAATTCAATCAACAAACATGTTTGACATTTTAACAAAGTAATTACAGTTTTTTCATACTTTGTACAAGTTCATAGTCACAGAGAAAGGGCTAAAATGCAAGTTTGTGTGCATGTGTCTGTGTAACTGTCTAAAGTTAGATGGGTTAATCCACATATTGATTTAACATGATATAACAATATAAAAATATGCAACAAAGAAGAGTTATAGTCCTGCACATTATCCACTGTAAAATCAAGCTTGACACATCAGTAATTCTACACAAACAAGATATAAATGTTAATGTGTTTAGATGTGCTGGTCAGAATACTTTAAGCTGTTTACCCTCTGGTTTCTAGTCTTTATGCTAAGCTAAGCTAAGCGGCTGTTGACTGTAGCTTCAAACAGAAAGTGGTATCAATCTTCCAATCTAACTCTTGTAAACTATAATAAAATGAGAAAATTCTACAATGTCCAACTCTTTATGACTCTCTCCTAATATATTAGTGTGTGTGAGAGCGCTGCAGCTGACCTGATCATACTCCGAGGCCCCCGGATAAAGCGGCCATCCCAAAAACAGCTCAGCGATGACACATCCCAACGACCACATGTCGATCGCCTCACAGAAAGGAAGGCCCAGAATAATCTCCGGAGCTCTGCAAGCACAACACAACTGTATGTTAAAAAGACAAAAGAGCAGGTCATTTACATAATATTCAAGAAAAGGCACGTTTTTTTTATATAGTGCTTTGTAGAGGGGGGAGTGTGGGCGAGAAACTCAGGGATTGTAGTCTTTGCAGACCATTTACATGCAGAAAAATATATACAACACACTACAGGAAATGGAAATTGCCCAAAAGCCAAATAGGACCCCTTTAAGTGCCTTTTAAACCAGCAGAAGTCATTTAACACCGATTATTTGACTCACAGGAAACCACTTTAAAGACCTCAGAACCGTGTTGATGTGATCATCTTCCAAAGCTCTAACGCAGAGGTGTCCAAACTGTTTTCACCGAGGGCCACATACAGAAAAATATACGAAGGGCTGGGCCCACTCGCTAGAGATATTTTGACTCATAAGTTCAGTTATTATAATTTGGAAAAATCAATCCATTGTAGGTCAATTATTCTTGATACTTGAAACTGCCTACATCACAGCTCTCCAGAGCTCATTCCTTGAAACAGAAGCTTCAGATTGCTTACAATAAGGGGAAATGTGAACAGTAGATTTCAAGCTTGATATGTAATTAAGTTATTGGGCTTTTTTCTTATCAACAGGGTATATGCAGGAATCCTGAAGTCAAATGTAAGACCTTTTAAGACCTTTTTTAAGACCCTTCCCATACATTTTAAGACCTCATCGCCACTTGGAGTTTTAACTGGTTACATTGGCGACACACTTTACCTCACATTGACTATATACAGTATTGATTGTCCTTCCTCCTTATCTTCCAACCATTTGGACGCAGACTTGCATTTCCCCATAACGATGTTGTTTAACAACCGGCGTAAACGGACCTTCGCGCGCTATCAAGCAGTGAGCGTGCGATGTCCTGTTCAGATGACGTCAAATCCAACGGGATGCCATAAATAAACTACACAGAATCACACTGCACACCTACGCAATGATTACATTCAGGCAGACTGTAGAATACAACCTCTTTGGACAATTGATATACTTTTTGAAAACAAGCTACAACATGTAATACCTTGGAAAATGCCGTTTAATACTTTTTAATTTTCGCTAAATTGATTGATCAACTTTTAATACTTTTTAAGACCCCCGGACACCCTGATCAAGTTAGATTTGTTAGAACATGTTTTCAACTTTAATTGACTGAATTTATTAGAAAATTGGGCTTATTAACACATGAATACTGTGTAATATATTTGAACATATATACAAGCTGAAGTTTATCATACTCAAGTCATTATACTTTTTTAATTAGCTGAGGGCCAATTCAAAATGGTCCGCGGGCCGCATTTGGCCCCCGGGCCGTAGTCTGGACACCCCTGCTCTAACGGTACAGTCCAGGCTGACTCACCTGTAGTATCGAGACTGCAGGTAGGTGGAGCAAACTGCTTTGGACACGTGGCTGGCGGAGCCGAAGTCGATGACCTTGACTCGGTACGGCTGCCTCAGAGGGTCCACCAGCATGATGTTCTCCGGCTTCAGGTCGGCGTGGATCAGCCCCAGGCTCTTCAGCTTCATCAGGGCCGTGGCCACCTGCTGCAGGATGGGCCGGATGCACTTCAGCAGCAGCGGGCTGAACTTGCTGTGCTTCAGGAAGTCGTAGAGGTTCTGCTCCAGCATCTCAAACACCAGGCACGTGTGGTTCTTGTGCTGGAAACACTCGTAGGAGCGGACGAAATTGAACTCGTCGGCGTTCTCTGTGCTCAGTCTGCTCAGGATGCTCACCTGCAGGAGAGAGGGGGAGGGAAATGGAAATTGTATAGTGCTTAAAGGGGACCTATCATGCAAAATGCACTTTTGTACGTCTTTTCTACATGAATATGTGTCCCCGGTGTTCCAGGGAACTCACCAAGTGTCAGAAAACACAACCCTCTCTATTTTCCTCCATACCCAAATCTCTAAAAAAGGGGCTGCAACGGATCTGATAAAAACTGATCCAGATTTGAACACTGTCCTGACGTCAGGACAGTGGCGCTACGGCTATTGGGCCAACTCCACCAATCAGGAGGAGACAGCCACGGCCATTGCCGTTCGAAAGCGCTGGAGACGCTGTAGTACATATGCCAGGCCTGTAGATGGTGCTGTTCTCACAGAATCAGCCCTTGCAAAAACAGAGCTAACATTTTTCAAATAGAGCGAAATGAGGCATGGCTAAAATGCATGATCTGTTTGGTATTTTGAAAAAAAAAAAAAGTATAAATATGCCTTATATAGATATGGTCCTACACTATATTATTCAAATATAGCATGATAGGTCCACTTTAAGAGATAATGATATGGATGGAATGTCTTGAAATGGCAATTCTTTCCATGTGAGTTGTTCCTAACTTTATCTTGTGGTAAAGTGGTTTGAAAAAGGCTTTTTTCTGTACATCTACAGGTTTGAAAAACAAGCTAGATATCCGGTTTATAACTGGATAGAAGGGAGTGTCGGAGCTCCGTGTGAATAACAACCATGTTTACCGGATACTCGGAGGCGTTGTACTGTCAAATTAAAAATACATTAATTATGCAGAGGGAAAAACGTTCACCTGAATGGATTTGGGCTTCTTATTGTTTTTATCTAACTGCTATTTGGTATAATTATTTTATGTGACACAAATATTTTAGGGACTATAGTTTCCATGAAACCATTGGGGGAAACACGCCTCTTGGCTTCTTGTTTACTTTACATTGTGTGCCTAGGTTGGCAATAGTCCCCTGTCTGCTTTTGTGTGAGCAGGCCCTAAACTAGCATTCATGTCTTATTGGAGCCGTCATTACAACAAGAACACTCAGATTTTCCTGTGTCTGAAAACAAAGCAGATATGAACCCCTTATATGTATGTTATATCGTCGCTGCACAGCATGGAGATCTATAGCTGTCATGGACTCAGTAAGTCAGCTTTCAAACCACATTTTTTAGCCTTTATTTGTGTGCATTTTGGCTGTTTGGCACCATTAAGTCATATTGAATTAGATTAGAGCAGTTCCTGTTTGCACTGTATTCATGGATGTATAGATAACCATTGCTGAATTACTTTTAAAATGAAATGCTTTTTCTCTTGGATTTCTAAGCATATTTGGGATGTTTATCAGCTTCTAAGAGTTTCATAATGAGAATAACGTTCTGTCTTTCCTAGAGTTAATCATAGTTCATTCTAGAGAGTTTATTATTTTCAGAACCACACACTCACTTCAATTTGACCCTGCCGAGCGTAAGACGGGTGGTTCTTCAAGATCTTGATCGCCACGATCTCGTTTGTGCCTCGCTTCCAGCATTTGGCCACCTGTCCGAAGGTGCCTCGCCCCAGGAACTCCAGCACCTCGTAGCTGTTGGCCATGGAGCACAGGATCTCGTGCTGCACCAGCTGGTAGTCGCCCTCGCTGTGGGAGGAGCTGCTCTTGGTGGTGGAGGTGGAGTGAGCTATGGACTGCGCTGTGGTCGTCCCCCCTCCCCCTCCTCCTCCACCTCCACCTCCACCCGTTCGGTTTGACACCACGGGGGCCGAGAGCTCCTCCAGGATCTGAACGCTGTCGCTGCTGTCCACCTCCTCGCTCTTCCTCTTCAGGCTGTGCTGCTTGTGGTAGAGGGAGGAGGACTCTGCATCCTTTATACGACGGCTGGAGGAAGAGGAGGAGGAAGAGGAGGAGGGAGGTTCGCGTACGCTACCTGTGCTGTCGGCCGCTCGGACCACCGTCTGCTCCCGGGAGCCAGATGAAGGCGGGGGGGGTCCCTGGTTGGAGTTGTACACCGGGTTGAAGTTTGATCCGGAGCTGGAGGTGGAGGGGGCGGCTCCCTGGGAGGGGCTCTGCTGGAGGTAACCATTGTCCCCCGGCTGGCTGGAGGCTTCCCAGGTGGGGGGGTTCTCCACTTTCAGCCTCTTGGAGCGGGAGTGGGCCGTGGAGGAGACGGAGGGAGAGGAGAACACCTGCAGCTGAGACGCCATGTCTGCAGGTTGAAGATCAGCAGAAACCATCAGAAGTGTGTCAAGAACACTTTATATTGTGTAGATAGATAGATGGATAGATGGATAGATGGATAGATGGATAGATGGATAGATGGATAGATGGATGGATGGATAGATGGATAGATGGATGGATGGATAGATGGATAGATGGATAGATGGATAGATGGATAGATGGATGGATGGATGGATAGATGGATAGATGGATGGATGGATGGATAGATGGATAGATGGATTGATGGATTGATGGATTGATGGATGGATAGATGGATGGATAGATAGATAAGTACTTTATTGATCCCAATTTGGGAAATGTTTGCGTTGCAGCAGCATAAAGGTCCCCAAGCTGAAAGTTCAGGTTCAGCCTCAATATATTTGGGGAGAATTAAAATTAGCCGTCTTTATTTGTAGACAGCCAAGCCCCCTCCTGTGTTCGGTGAAGCATTATATGCTTACAAATCTAATGTAGGATATAAACACAACTAAACGGCAATGATAGCAAAACTGTGGCTTGTGTTTGTGGGGTAATAAAGTCCAAATTATCGTTGGGAGTGACGTCTGATGAAGATGAAAAATGTAAATTAAACATTGATGAGAAAATGCTGCATCTCTTGCATTTGTTGAGGTAGAGGAGCCTTATTTCTGACCTTTTTAATATAATTCTTTGTAAGTTTCAATTGCTTGGTTTTCGTGAAATTAGCCTGTTTTCCTCTTAAAGTGTAACAGATTGATGCATCTCCACAGATCATCTTAGACTTAAAGGCTTCGGAATCCCACCATTGTAGTTTGAAAAAAACTAGGGCCCCCAAACAGCATCTTGCATAAGGCCTCCTAAAAGCTAGAAACGGCCCTGAGCGTAATAACATGTAACTGCTGTCTGATAATAATAATAAAAAAGTCCCAACAGTCTTATTTTTATAAGGTCTCAATACTTTAATCTGTTATTTATGTCACTAAGTTCTTTTAAACAGCTGCCAATCGTTTTTTTCGTCATGGTTGTGTACTTATTTGTCTTTTTTATTTCTTTATTACTAATGTGTCTTTCCCTTTTTATCATTGCTTGCCTTTTTTACCTGCTATGCCACTTTTGCTGTGGGACTAATAACAGAATTTCTGGATACACATTAACGAGTGACAATACCTGTATTTGATGACTGAACACACCGATCTGATATTTAAGGCCTCATCATCATCATCATCTTCATCCTCTCCTCTTCAGAAGAACACCGAGCTGTGTGTTGCTGCTGCAGCCGATCAGAGGGAGCTGCTGGCCAGCTGCTGCTCGAGCTCTCTCTCGCTGTAGCAGGATGGATGGATGAGCGCTAAGCTAACAGGCTAACGTTAGCTAGCTACGCACATCCCAGTCATAAGGGACTGACAGCCGCAGTCACATCGTGTATGAAGCGAGCAGAATGTGCACAATGTCAGAGGAAATGTCAGATACTATCATAATGAGCACTGTCGACTAGACAGAGCTCCATCATCATCATCCTCATCATCACCACTGTACGTACGCTTTCTACTGAGTGGACGTAACGGAGCGTACGTAACATGCGTCAACGGTCGCAGGGATAGAGCAAAAAATCGTACAATTTCACAGAATGTCATCAGTATAAATACATACAGTATACACACACCAGAGGTGGGAGAAGTACCATAGACTGTATATATAAAGAGAAGTACACAGATCTTGTATTTGAATAAAATACGTAGAAGTACCAGAGTGTAGGAATACTCTGTAACAAGTAAAAGTCCTGCATTCAAAATGTTACTAAAGTAAAAGTACAAAAGTATCAGCTTCAAAAATATACTTAAAGTACCAAAAGTAAAAGTCCTCATTAGCCTATGCAGATTGGTCTATTTCAGAATAATATGATATGTTTTGATTATAATTATTGGTAATTAAAGTGTTATCAAAGCTGGTAAAGGTGCAGCTAGTTTTAAAGACTTTGTATACTGCAGGGTGAATTTACTCCAGGTGTAAGTAACTAAAGTCTGATTTAAGACTTGATTATATTTCACATCATTAATCCAAATCTGCACAGTAACTAAAGGTTTGTAGTTGAGTAAAAGTACACGATTTACCTCTTAATTGTAGTGGAGTAAAAGTAAAATGTAGCTATTGAAATAGTCAAGTAAAGTAAAAGTATCTCAAAATTGTACTTAAGTACAGTAGGCCTACTTGAGTAAATGTACTCAGTTACTTCCCACCTCTGACACACAAACTGTACAGTAGGGTGAGCACTTTTAAGCAGTTTAATTGTTATAATTCCAACTGTTTCCAGTATTTCCTTGTTCCTTTTCAATATTCTTATTTCTCTCTTCCCGTATGATAAACGCAGTGGGACGTATAGATATAATAGTAAAACAGTGTATATAAAAGAAATCAGGGATATTCAAAGCCAACTAAAACATAAAAAAAGGTTATACCTCTAATGCAGAATGACAGGTTTCTAGCAGATTTCTTATTTCAACACAAGGGGTCGCTGCTGTTCAGCTACAGTGAGATGTTAAACATTTTTGTGGCCAAACCATAGACAAGTTCCCTTAATGCATTTTGTGTAAACACAGACCAAGTTTATTTTTCATCCATCTTTCATGTACATTCCTGTTCATACAGATATATTATCAAGTGTGCTACTACAACACATATACAGTAACATAAGCACTGCATTTCATAGTGGTACTGCAAATTACACAAAGTAATACAAAGACTACACCAGCATAGTCAATGCAAAAAAAACACAACATTTCATAACAAAACAAATGGAAAGTAATACTGCGACTTCATGGTTGTTGATGATAGCTGATGAAATGACACTCTTTATCCATACAACATAGCTGAATTCAAGTTTAAGTATGAAATATAATGGGAGTAAATGCATGCATTACACACACACAAATGTATATGTAAAATAAATCCTTCAATGAATCAGAATAATGAAACTGATACAGCAAAGAAATGGCAACGATTAAAGAAAATAACAAAACAAGTGCTTGACATTTTATCCAAACAATTGTATCTAACACTGTACAAAAGCAATGCTATATTTATTTGTAAAAGCATTTAAGAGGACAAGACCAGCAAAATCCTCATTTCAATATAAAACGTTGATCCAAGAACAGCACAAGACTCTTGCGGATATAATGCTACTGTATGATATTGATATGAAATTGAAGGATGATGATGACCAGCGAACAGCATCCAAAAATGCACGAGTTCACACTTAAAAGGATTGAAATGTGAATTTTTCTGCTGAATAAACAGACTGGGTAACTTGTAACACGTTATGCTTTTTCTTTAAGGTTTGTGATAGTAACTGTGAGAATATGGAAAGTGGCTATTGCACTTTTCCAAGTACATCATTGTGTTCCTCTGCTTATTTACCGACTACCTGAAGGAGTGCCTGAAGTGAACACTCCTTCGTTTCAGCTTCTCCGGGTTGTGGGATGCCATGTGGGAAAATTCTCGGAAGATGTCGAGGTATGTGGCGTCTCCTGATGAAGAAAACAACGGAAATAATGTTAAAAATGATGCCACTTCAGCACTTTGAACAGTCAAAACATCTAAATACTTAAAAGTAGAAGTACCAGAGTGTAGGAATACTCTGTTACAAGTAAAAGTCCTGCAATCAAAATATTACTCAAGTAAAAGTACAAAACTTTAAGCATCAAAATATACTTAAAAGTCCCAAAAGTAAAAGTACTCATTGTGCAGATTGGTCCATTTCAGAATTATATATATGATATGTTTTGATTAAATTATTGATTAATTAAAGTGTTCTCAAAGCTGGTAAAGGTGCAGCTAGTTTGAATGACTTTGTATATATACTGCAGGGTAGCTTGTGAATTTACTCCAGGTGGAACTAAAGTCTGATTTAAGAGTTGATTATATTATTAAACAAAATCTGCAAAGTAACTAAAGGTATTAAATACATTTAGTGGAGTAAAACCATTTACCTCTGAATTGTAGTTGGACAGAAGAAAACATTGAAATACTCAAGTAAAGTGCAAATAACTCTAAATGGTACTTCAGTACAGTGCTTGGGTAAATCGACTTAGTTACTTTACACCACTGCTTTTATATAAACACAAGCGATGAGGGGAAACAGAAAGCATAAGGAGCGCTGTGTAAGAAGAAGTCTAGTGAATAGAAACAGGCCGAGGCACCGTGAAGCTTTCTGCTTTCAACTTTACAAATTCTGAGCTTTTACTTTACTCGTGGCCATGGTAACCGCTCAATCCACAGGCGTAACAAAGGCAGTCAAACTCTTTGTGTCTCATGAGAGCTCCCAGGCTCGGCTAATTAAAAAAAGGAGGAATGAACATTCCTGGCTTTCCCTGTTTATGTGATGTGTGAGAAAGAGAAGCAGGGATCACCGAGTGCATCCTTAGATATGGCTTCATGGTAAAAACCCTGCAATAAGTACTTCAAAGTACACATCGTGGTTTATAAGACATACAGGAGGGAGATTTGAGTTTCAATATAATATGTACTTAGGAGCACTGTGCTGTACAGAAATTAAGGAATGGTTTATATTAGAACATTTTAACTTAAGTATTACATTTCATATATTTGTCGACACTTAATATACACTTGTAATGTGCACACGTGCTTCAATTGCATATTATTAATAACATTGTGTTTACAGTGATATTTTTGGAACAACATTATACATTATAAAGCAGTAACAATGGTCCAGTTTATCTACCTCAAAAAAGAGCCCAAGCCAGGAGAAAATGCAATTATAATGCGTTATAGTTTATATTTTTAAATTAAACCTTTATTTTTATATTTAAAGGGTCAAGGGCAACGTTTTTATATTTGAGCAACAGTCTACACAAAATTGTGGCTATATAATAGTGTCTAAGTAGAGCTTATATACATATTGAATGGTATATCCTATCCTACATTTTTGGGTTGAATCTTTCCAATATAACATTCTTTAAGAGGAATAGTACATGAATTAGTCTTTTGCTAATTTTGTGGGCATTTTTAATGCAGCAAGGGTACATTTTTGGCCACATTTTCTTGCTACAGTTTGTTTGCTGTTCCAAACTCCCTCTGGAAGGAACTTTGGGATTCTAGCCTTTGCAGACCATTGACATGCACAAAAAACTTTATAACACTCTCCAGGAAAGGGAAAACCCTAAAAGCATAATAGGGCCCCTTTAAGCGTTGACAAATACGTTAATTTAAAGTGGACCTATCATGCTATATTTGAATAATATAGTATAGGACCATACCTATATAAGGCATATTTATACTTTTTTTTTTTCAAAATACCAAACAGATCATGCATTTTAGCCATGCCTCATTTTGCTCAATTTGACATTTTTTAGCTCTGTTTTTGCAAGGGCTGATTCTGTGACAACAGCACCATCTACAGGCCTGGCATATGTACTACAGCGTCTCCAGCGCTTTCGAACGACAATGGCCGTGGCTGTCTCCTCCTGATTGGTGGAGTTGGCCCAATAGCCGTAGCGCCACTGTCCTGACGTCAGGACAGTGTTCAAATCTGGATCAGTTTTTATCAGATCCGTTGTAGCCCCTTTTTTAGAGATTTGGGTATGGAGGAAAATAGAGAGGGTTGTGTTTTCTGACACTTGGTGAGTTCCCTGGAACACCGGGGACACATATTCATGTATAAAAGACGTACAAAAGTGCATTTTGCATGATAGGTCCCCTTTAAAGAACATTTTCTTATATTTTATTGCAACTATATAGAGTTATATACACCGTTGTATAATTGCTATACAGTGCTCATACTGTAAATACAAAAAAAAATACTTTCTAACTCAAATGTTAATCTCTCTGCATAATGCACATTCTAATTGACTGAATAAATATGTTATAATTTCATGCTGTGGAAACCATATATATTGATTCATTGTTAGTGCAGCAGCTGTTCATGATGTTAGGAGTGTGTTAGTGCTGTTACATGTAGTGAAAGGTTGTTGAAGAAAAGAAGAAAGAAGCAAGGAAGCAAAAGGAGAGGACAGATTTTAGTCACATCTTCCATTTATTTTACTTTTAGAAGACACTGGGAGGGGTTATTGAACAACGAGGAGGAGTCAAAACCAAACATAAGTAGCAGTTAGTGTTAATATGCACAGGAACGTTCTTACAATATTCAAAGAAATGAACAGTTAACAGTCAGAGACAGAAAAGATACAAGAAAGTTGCATGTTAGAAGCAAGCAGTTAAAGTGTTAATAGTTTTTTTTGTTTATATACACAACAGTCAGCAGACACATCGTACTGTACAACACATAATCCTTCAATGGCTTGATGCAAATCATCGTCCGGTCAGTGACATCGTCTGTAAGCTACCACATCGAGTACTGCACAAAATAAGAGAAGGCTGGATTTTCAAAGTGCTTTCATTTGTTCACTGACAAGCAAGAAAGGGGAGTGAGCTGCTCTATTTGTCAGCGCTACGTCTCTGCTACACGGCTAAGACCTGTGTGTGTCTTAGCAAACTTA